AATCTCTAAAGCCCATTACTTCATATCTGTTAAATGCCCTAAAAATGCCAGGAACCATACAAGTCACAGGTAAAAACTGCTCATCTTGCCTCCAAGAATTAACTGTACATCAAATGTGACAATCTTTTGTTAACTACTGTGATAATTATAAGTTGATTTTATCTTTACAGTGCTGGGATTCAAAGGTGTTTCATCTTCACCAGAGCCTTCTGCAAAATCCCTAAAAGGCAAGTCATTAGAAAACTTTTTCCCTCGATTTGCGGTTTTGGAGTCATCGGATGGCTCGGCTTATGGAGCCATCCATTGTTATTCACAAATGATGTATTGACACGTGTCCTGCAATAAATGCACATTGGACATGTGTCAGTATATGAAGTGATAGATGACTCCATAAGGGAGCCATCCGATTGCTCCATAGATTTTCTGCCTCGATTTATTCATGTAATTTGTTTCTCAGGTGTTTCTTGATGTAAAGAGTTCCTTTTTACTCTGTAAATTTGCCTTTTGTTAGCAGTTTCCATGGGGAAAAGACAGTATCAGACCTGGGACATGGGTGAATTTTCTTTGTAATAACTCTTTAACCTACTGGGGCGATGTTTTCGGTCGAGATTTACGACGTTGTTTCGTGAAAGTAGAAAGTAGAATGATGATCTTTTTTACAGCCCCATCACAAAACTTGGTGAGGATTTAGTGGTTGCCCTGCTGGATGCTGCAGGAAATGTGATAACTCATGCAGGTTTATAATGCATTTACCCTGCAAGAGCTGTTTGTAATATTAATTTTCTTAATTGTGTAGTTCGTTCGAGATGAAAATTTGGATTGTTTTGGTTTCGGATTAGATATTCGGACGATGCAAATAATCGAGAAGGGGTCTTGGGATGAAGTTTTCTCCATGGACCGGGGAGGACACGTGCACATGAAATTGCGATTTGTTCTCAGTGAGGAAGAACGCAATAAAATTCGTGCTATGGTATTGGTAACTTCCTTGTTTTTTTCTCTTAGTGAAGAATGCGTCATTTTCCCAAAAGCGAATGTGTGTTTATGGTGGAGACACATAGTAAGAAAAAGATCAGACATTGAAGGCGAAATTTTGAGTCAATTTTTTATTGTATGTCGTTATTAAGTGTTTTAGTTTGTTTCCGGGTTTTTTTTTTTTAGTTCAAAAATATGCGTTCTGTTTTGGGTGACCGTTGTGAACATGTTTCTTTTGATCATTCTTATATTGTTTTCGTAAATAACTGGAAACTGCAATCGTATTTTGAGAAAGACATTCATCAGAGACTCGGTTCTTGATTTAGCACTTTTTTGGTTTCTTTTTGCTTGCAGAGAGAATCTGCTTTGAAGAAGAAACTTGAAACGAACTCGAACATCAAACTTAAACTTACTGAAACCATTTCTGCCGAGACATCCACAAAAGACGAACACAAGGTCTCAGGTTAGTTCTCATTAATACGTAAAAGAGTACCGAGTTTTGCTTTAAATGTAATGGCAAATGAAACTGATTACGACACATCTATTTAATGAGTTGCTGAGGTTTTTACGTGTGATTGTACAACTGCTTCATGTCTTGTTGAGATATCCAAAAAGAGGTTTTGTTGAAATAGATGTAGTGAGACCTAAAGTTGACGGCTCTCAAGCTGGTTCGTCTTCAACTTCTCCTACTTCATCTGCCACGTCCCAATCGAGTTATCGAAAGAAAGGTGTAAGCATACTCGAAAGTGCAGTAGTCCCAGTTAAGGAATTATCAATCGTACGGTAGACTAGTTTTGTTTCATTTCACATGAAAATTGTATTTTTTATTAGCTTGCTTGTTTCGGCTAACAACGATTTTGATTTTTTCTGTTTTAGAGCACAACAGTCGAAAGTAGTCAGTATAGTTCATCTTCTTCGGGTAAAGATGGAGCACAACAGACGAAAGTTTCTAGCAACGTGAAGAAAATGATTAGCGCATTCGAGAACAGTCAACTTCAGGTGCTTGTTTTTAAGTTTTGTTAGTGTTCTAGAGTAATTACTCTGTGCCGTCTCAAATGCGCGTGTTTTTACGTTTTGCCATTTCAGACCCAAGAAAGAGGGAAGAAGAAGAAGAAGAGAAAAATTAAAAGATTTTTTCTTAATTCATACAGGAAAAAGGTTTTATTAGACTTGAAAAAAAATTATACTCTATAAACATGACATATAGTTAGAGGTGGAAAGTGTAATATTTTATATGAATTTGTTTAGTTCTTCATACTTAGTACATAAAGCATGGATACTTACTGTCTTTTTTTTTTTGTTCCTGCAGGAAGTGAAATCCCTGAAGAAAACACCATCAGTACCATCTCAATTAAACAGATTATTGAAACGCGAGGATAAAACTCTGAAGAAAGCGCCATCTGTTCCATTCCGACTCCACAGATTTAAAAACGAACAGTTGCTGGAGGCCCCACGAGAGTCGGATTTAGCTGTAAAGACGCGAGTAGAAAATGCTCCTAATGCATTGAGAGAATCTTGTATAGAACAAACTGTAAAAGAACTCGACAAATTACCGTACGATTTAACAAGGCAGTCCTCTGCCAGAAAAGCAACGACTTCCGGAAAAACGCTTTCTGTGGTGGAGACGGTAAGTTCTTCCGGAAATTCAGCTGAAGCGATCGGGCATGAGAGTAGAAGAGGAACCAGCTTGAAGAGATCAACCGTGGTTAACTTTCAAGAAACTTCAAAAAATGCAAAATACGAAGGTTTTCAAGAATGCTACAAAGAAGGAAGATATAGTCCTTGTCTAGACTCTGGTACGTGGATATTTGCAGATAACACGAGACGATTGTGTGTCACAACTGCAGGTAAGCAGGGTATGAGGATTGTAGGTTGTAACCATACAGAAGCAAAAGCTCGTTCGTCGGGAAGTGAAGTTATTCAGGATAAGGTATAGTTCTCTTAGTCACTTGAAATGAAATTTGTATAACATGAAATTTCTATTATATGTTTTCTAGTAGTTAATGAGCTGCGATGTATATGAATGATGTTGTTCCGGCATACTTCTGTCAGACGGATTTTGGCCCATCAGACATCCCTTGGACTAAAAAACTTGAATAGGAAAAAGAAAGAAGTGTAGGAGCATAATATCTAATAGAGAACTAAAAAATTTGTGCTCCCAACAGAATGCAATGAATAGAGCAGAATGTAAGAGTGGAAAGAAAGAGGACAAAGTTTTCGAGCCGCCAGGATCCGAGTGCGGTAGCTCGCCGGATGACTCATCCAATAGCCGTATTGGACAGGTAGCATTCACTATTCACTACTTGTGATCATGGTTAGGCATTGATTACTTCTGTTTTATATCATCAAGTTCCCATATTGACTGCAGCAAACTTCATGTGATGAGTTACTACACGTATGTTTTTACATATCAGGTAGTAAAAATTGCTGTCATTCTCGGTTTTGGAGTATTTGTTCTGCTCACCAGACAGAAAAAACCACGGTATGTAATTTAGTCGATGGCTACTGAATACTCTCTCTCTGGAAAGTGAAACATCATGTTAAACGTGCCTGTCGTTTTTCCTCCATGTTACTAATGCAGGCAAAACCTTTATTTGCAGGAGAAAACACAGAGAAGAACTTGAGTCTCGCCACATACGAGATTACGTTGCCGAAACAACTATGATGCCATGGTCACCAGCTGCAATGGAAGAATGACTCAGCTGCCATTGTATCTATCTATCTTCACGGCCCTCCACAGACATCTGTGACAATCTCTTAATACCAGAGTAACTTCATTTTTATTCTTGTTTCTCTTGCCTTATATCATATTCCTTTTTCAGACACACATAAAAATAAAAAGATAAAGATATCAATCTACATTGAAATATACTATATACCAGAACTGTTCCAATGAAGTATGAACTCCAGATACAAAGGAAAACACCGATTTCAATTTACATTGAAGCATAAAAGAATTGTTTGTGTGGAGGAACCTATGTATGTTAATAAAACAAGTAAACATGAGGGACACTGATACATCGAATGTTAAGAAACCAGACTGCTTTGCAGTCCCCCAAGAAAAAAAAAATACGAAAACTAATTCGTCCCACTCGTGAAAACCAAACGATCGCCGTCCCGAATCAGCTCAATATCATCAACCACAGCACCATCTCCTCTAAAAACCGTCCCGCCCGAAAGCCCATACTTCCTTTCACCAATCTCCATCAGCTCCCGGAAGCTGCCCGGGAGCACCACAAGCTTCCCCGCATTATCCCCTTTCTCCGGGCAGCTCACGATCACCCGAGCCGCATTTTTCCCATTCTCCACCACCCCAAACTCCCCACCGGCGGACCCCACAGCCGACATCATCCCAAACAAAGAATTACAGAAGTCATTGGCTCTCCGCCTTGGCCGCGGGCCCCCCCACAGCCCGTTGGGCCCCATGGGTGGGCCCGGAAGCAAGACGGGCTCGCTCCTGAAACGCCCTATGAAGCGGACCCCACGGCTCTGCTCGGCCGGGGTGGACACAGCTGTCTCGATCGTGCGGGCCCGTTGATGGGAGTCGAAGAGTTCGCGGATGTCGTCGTGGCCCTGCTGCTCGGCCAGGTCACGCGGGGTCCATCCGTCCCCGTCCACCCGGTCGGGCCGGGCCCCGCGCCCGAGGAGAAAACGGACGATATCCGTGTTGCCCTCGTAGACCGCCACATGGAGGGCTGTGGACCCGTTGTCATCCCTCGGGAGGGTGACATCACCCCCAAGGCGGATAATCTCTTTCAGGAGTTCCAACTTGTTTTGTTCGGCAGCCGTGCACGAGAACATGCCCACGTCGCCTGACGAGAGCTTCGCCCCGTTTTCGGAGAGTAGTTTGACCACGGGCTTGTGCGAGTTGACCATGGCCTCCCAGAGGGGTACTCGTCCTTCTGAATCTGCATTTATTAAAAAAATAAAAAAAAATATTTAAATATTTTATTCGTTTTAAATTGAGATTTAGTAGGAAAGGAATCACGTGAAATCTTAATTCTGGAAGTGAGATTCAGAGTGAGATTTCGTATATGGTTTTTTTATTAAAAATCTTACCAAATCTTAAAATGTCTTAACAAATCCTAGTGTCAAATAAGTTAAGACCTAAGGATTCTACAAGACTTTGTAAAATCCAAAATGAACACCTAAAGGCTTTTGAAAGTCTTAAAAAATTCAAACTAAATACAACAAGAATTCTGAAGTCTCAAAAAGCATTTAGAAATCCAAAATGAATACACCCCTTAGATTAATGATATATTCTGCGCGCCAAATCGGTAAATCGTGCCATTCAAATTTATCTAATTTTTTTTATTTCGTAATTTTCCTGTCATGTTTTTTCAACTCGTGGTGTGGTGTTGTGTTCATCGTGTCATTTATCTCTCTAATCATGTCATTTTCGTGCTTCGCATCGTTGGCAATCCCCCTAAAATCGGTCCTTGAGAGTCATTAGGGGCAGAGAATGTGTCCTGCACTTTTCATGAGGGGCTGTAGTGTTTCTTAAGATTAGGGTCATGGGGATGTGTCCATTATTCAAAGCAAGGTTAGTTAATTATAGTAATCTGGCAAAGAAGTCAGAGAGAATATGGATATTTTAAGCACAAGTAGACTCTATAAGATTAAAAGTCAACTTGTGTGGAGATTAAATGACAGTGAATTGAAATGTTTTGACTATATTTCATTTTTATTTTTTTTTTTGTATTTTTTTTGTATTTTAATAATATATGGATTGCAATAATTGTGTAATTAAAGTAAAGGGACCCCAAGACCAGATCCAGATGTGCAAGCAGCAGTACCTTCAGTCATGGGGCAGTTTTTTATCATCACAAGAAATGTACAAATATGGAAAGGTCAACAGCCATTACAAATACCTTCATTAAAATGAAACATTGAAATGTTTTTTTTTACTTCAACATTTGTCAACTATATTGTTGAAAAAACGAATTCTTGTGTGAGCCCGAATAAACGTTAATCGGGTCGACCCTATGTGAGCAAAAGTGCATACAGATATCACATGATCGATAACATGATCACACGACACAATGTAGTCATAGGCGTACTGCAGGAACATGATCGATAACATGATAACACAATGTAGTCACACGATAACACGAAGTTCTGACTCGAAATAGTCAACCTACATCTGTTTTTGGCAAAACTACTAAAAAATTTAAGGTCCCTACATGGATAGAACAGACTCCTTCAATTGTTAGGCATGTATTATTGACTTAAAAGAAATAATTAATGTCACAACTAAGGTCGGTTACATAATAATAAGTAATAATACAAGAATGAATAGAAAAATGCAACATGAAATGAAGTAAGAAAATTATAATGTTTATTTTAAAAAATATTGATTAAATTAATGTCTGTAGATCTTGCAACAGGTATGACACTTTCTATGTTGAGCTGCTTTTCCTTTTGTATATTTTTTAATAAAACTTTCTATGTTTGGAATATTTCCCAATGAAACTTCAACTACAAGCCATCAACTCATTACCATGAGTCATTAACACTAATACACACTCAAGTTAAATTAATGTCATATTAAATTACGATTTACCTCTGCTGTTTGGATCGGCCCCGAAATCCAGCAGAAGAAGTACGCAGTTCTCGTTTCCTTTCGCTGCAGCTATATGCTGAATAAATGAAACCCACGAAGGAAAATCAGAAAGTCGATCAATAACGAAAAGGGAAAATAAGAATAAGTTCGCATGACGAATGAGATAACACTCACAAGTGCTGTTCTTCCATTATTATCGGACTCATTAGGATCGAGACCCCTTTTTAACAATTGATGCAAAAGCAAATCGTCTCCTCTATGTGCCGCAAAACATAGAGTTAGAGGTAAATCCATTCTCCCACGAGCAAGCATATTTTCAGTCTCTAACAGAATTCCCTCCATTATAGGGTCCTTTAATTCCTTCAAGTGCTGATATTAACCGAAAAAATACATCACGGTAATACTTGTCGTTAAAAATTTTATAAGACCCGTACGAAAATAATGGATACTTCTTCTTAGGCAAATGTGTACCTGAAGAAGATTGTTCATGATAATTGTGCCGTCTCCAACATTTGCTTGAACAATGTTCAAGAATGTAGCACGATTGAGACGCAATAGCTGGCTTAATCTTTTTGTTCGCACGGTGAATAACTGAGGCCTGTAACAAAGTACACCAATTTCGCCACAGAGGTCTCCGGCTTTGGCTTCTCCAACAACCTGCAATTATTAGTTCATCGTGGTCATGGTCGTGCTTCTTTCGTAATAAATAAATCGACAAATTTAAAAAATTGGAGTTACCTGTTCAACTCCATTTTTCAAAATCAATAGTTCCTGTGAAGCAAAAATTATATGTCATGGGTTTGGTGATACATAAGTAAAATAAGATTAAATGGAAGAACTACTCCAAAGGTTAGTCTAGTTACACTGATTAATTGAATATAAATAACAATAGGGCTAAAGTGCAAATATTACCACTGCCCCCGTTACAAGAATGTAGAAGTCGGTTGGTGCTTCATTCTGCAAGATTACATCCTCTTTTGGAGGGAAATACTCAGCCTTCATCTCGGAGACCTTTGGAACCGCAAAACGAAAATATGGTTATGACAATGACGAAAAATAGCGGGAAAAAAAGTTCAAATAGTAGAGAAATCATATTTACCAGCTGGAAGAGTAAATCGTTCGAGACCCCACGAAACAAGTATACCTTGTCTACAAGAGAGTAGAAAAGGAAATGTGAAATACTCGACCGAATGGCCTTCGGAAGCGAATCAAGAATCTCTTGCTGTTGCAACCCCTCTGAGTCGGTTCTAAACTTCAAGCACAAATGCGAAAGCATCTGCTCTTGCAGACCAGCTGGCAATTTGTTCCTCACAGCAAAACTTGTAGCCGCTTGAACCGTATCTCTCTATTGGACACCAACCAACAAAAAAAAAAGAAAAAGAAAAAAAAAAGGAAATATTAATAATCAAATTACAAAATCAGCTACAAGCAAGTAAAATAAAAAAATCCAATTTTAATTTCATATAGTGCCAATGTCACGCACGAATTGCCGAGTCTTGCTAGTCCCGTGCACAACCAGGTTTGTCATGTTTCCTATGAGGTATGCCATTAGTCCCAGATTAAAAAGCATGTAAAAGAGATCGAAAATCATCTCCCTCGTGTTCTCAGCATGCAAATCTCCATAGCCAACGGTCGTGAGGGTCGTAATCGACCAGTACACCGAGGTCACGTACCGGACCCACAGGCTCTGCTCGGTAAAATTCTCCATAACTGCTCCAATCCAAGTCTTTTGCTTGTCGTGATAACGGGCCGCTAGCAGGTAATTAAAGCAAGCCGCACAATGAACTGTAAAAAGGGTAACCTACACATGCCACGTAAACGAGTTATACCGTATAGCTTAACAAAAGACGTGCTTTTTTTTGGGTTCTTTTTTTTTTTTTTCTTTTTGCCAAATGAAATATAAAAATCAACTTACACAAATGAGTCTGCAGCACCTCACCCAAAAGTAGTTGAAATTCTTATCTTTCTCCAATCTGCCTTAAGAATTTGAGAAATATGAATATAAATTAATTAAAAGGGCACTTAGAAAAAATACCATTATTTATCTTAACGTTATAAATAGGCTACTTTCAAAGTAGTATTTTGCAAAGAGAAAATGGAAAGATAGCAATTTTATAAAGAAGATACCATGAGGAGACACATAGAAGGTAGAAAGGTAAAAAAAGAAAAACACATTTTTACCGGGCAAATAAGGCGCCGACCCTTCTTAGACGCCAGAGGCGAAGCATATTGAAAAGGCCGTAAGCCTGAAGAGGTTTTGGGGATATTTTACGAGCGAATTCAGACGGGACTGTGGATATGACGTCAAATAACAGCCAAGTGGTGGCATACTTCCGAGCAATCAGCTTTCGGCTGTCGACGAGAAGATAGGAAGTCCGGTCCAGGTAAGCCACGAAGAATGTAAGGACAATGTCGATAAAGAAAAATCCATTGACAACGTTATCCGTGATTGATAGGGGGGCCGCGGGCTTATCAAGAAACCCGAATTCGAATGGGGATACCCAGGCGGTGTAGATAACAAGTATGACAAGAAAGTTTTGCCATGTTCTGCAGTTGATTCAAACAAGAGGTATAATGAATTGATAACAAACTTTCCCTCATTTTACTGCGCTTTCGTAGGAAGCACAGAAGAAGATGAACTTTAGATATCACTGAGGACACGACAACACATGAAAAACGTAGGCATGCCTATGCTTTTTGACTGTTAAACTTTGGAACCACAGTCAACTGTTTTCTTGAGAGACAGAACAAAAACATATAATCAAATGTTGTAAATGAAAAGTGTCAACAACAATGTAACAGAAATCCATTTATGAAGATTTTCTGCTTTCTTTTCCTCAAAGATTCATTCACACTTGTAACTAATTTGGTAGAAAAAAAAATAAAAAAAAAAATCTAAAATTCATCACTTCCCATATGATCAAGAAAATGAAAAGCAAACAAAAAAAATAAAAAAAAATAAAAATAAAAAAATCAAGAATGAACAGAAAATCCAAAATTGAAGAAATCAGCAACAAAACCCAGAAAGAACATCATCTGAATCTATTAGAATTTCACACAAATCAAACATTTTGTCCTTCAGACAGGAGCGAAAGGAAAACAAAAAACATCATTAAAGAAAAAAAAAACAAAAAAACAAAGAAAAAAGGTAAAATGGGTACCTGTAACGGCGGTCGTAGGGTGAAACAATGTAAGGACTGAGCCTGACCCTGCGATTACTTCTGGCGCCGAGAGAAGGGAGAATCCCGGTCGAGAGGCTGTACTGACTGCCCTCCCTCGACAGCTGCTCGATCTCACGCGCCTCCGCGCCGCCGCCGCACATCGAAACCCTGAACAGCCCGCCCCCGCCGCCGCCGCTGTACAAATCCCCCAACATTTTTACCTTTCTCTGTGAAAAGGACTTCAACTTTTTTTCTGTATTTGAATCTTAGAGTATATTGCTCTCCGACTTATTTAAGAGGGGAAATATGTTATTTTAAAAGCATGGGTTTTTGCGTCCCCACACACAATTCACTTTCAGCAAAGTCTCACCCTTTTGACACCGCTCGCGGGCTGGTGGCCATGACGGTCGCCATTTACCAGTTTTACCGTGGAGTTATAAAATGACTCGCCTTATTTAAAAATTGTGTATTGACTCGTGTTTTGCTATAAATATATATTAGTACAACACTCGTGTATTACACGAGTGCTTGTTAAAAAATTATTCTTAAATTAAAATTAATGAGAAAACTAAATTAAATTTAGTTTACTTTTTTACAAAAGAATATATTACTATGTATTTTAGAATGATATGTGTTACTTATGACTTACATGTGTTGTATTATATTAGTTGTTATAATTTATATCAACTTATATCGTATAACTACTTGAAATATAAATATATTAGTTGATAAATAATTTTATTTTTTAATTAATATTAAAAATAATTTTATTATTGTTATAAAGATAAATATAAATTATTTTTTTTATAAATACAATATGGATGTTAAATCGAAGTTCATCAAAATAAGATTAATTTGATATATTACATATGCAAAACTGATAAAAAATACAAAAGTAATAACCTTTAAAATATATATACAATTCAATAGTTATAATAAGGAATGATATTAAAATACCACTAATACATGTAACATGACCATAAATAATCAACATATTTATGGTAATCCGAACCTAATTATTTTTTGTTTGGAATTAAATTAAAATTTACCCAAGCCTAATAACGAAGCATGTAATTTTGCCACATAGGATTTCGAAGCACCATAAGCAGCCACGTAGGCTCAGCGCGTTCTGTATTAATATATAGGGGGATTAGACATATGTCAGTACATAAATTTATGGACGAATTATGTATTGACACGTGTCCTACAATAAAAACATATGTGTCAGTACATAAAATTATATATGGCTCGTAAGGGAATCATCAGATGCTCCAAAAAAATTTATGTCCCACGTACTTGATTGGATTTTCCCTTCTTTTTTTTATTTAATTGTTATGTTTCTATAGTTTGGGTAATTACATCATATAATCTATATTCATTATTCAATAATTGGCATGGTTTTTGGAGTGATTTTGTTTTTAAAAAAAATATTTATTGGATTGGGAATAATTAATTTTTACCAGTAGTCGATCATGCACACACACGATGTGAATAAAAGTGTTACAAATTATGTCTATATATAATTTTAACCTTTTAAATTAAATAATAAATTTATCACATTTTGCGGATTTAATCATTAGTAAATGAATAGCATAAATAAAATATTTAACCACATATGAATTACGATTATAGGTTGCATAAAATATAATAGATAAAACTAATTTTTAAAATTTTGAGGCATCATAATTTGTAATACGTTTTAGCCTTCGTCAAGGAGATTGGTGTGATAGCTAAAGGGACAAGTTGGTTGCAACTAAAGAGTAAGGGGTCGACTTAAGTCGACCTGATCAGAGAAGTCAATTAAGGTCTATAATGACCTGGAGGGGGACTCTAGGGTTCGTATGAGGTCGTTGAGTGACCTGGTCAGAAAGGCCAATTAATGTTTGTAGCGACTTGGAGGGGACTCTAGGGTTTGTATGAGGTTATTGAGCGACCTGGTAAAGGATATGGATAATAGGTCAAGAGGTCGATATTACAATCTAAGGACCATTGGTAAAGAAATATAATCCCACCAATAGGAGCACGTGTATATCAGAATAAGCGATACTAGAGGCATATCATATTAGGAAGCGGAATACGCGAGGATCTCTTTCCAAGTAATTGAGTAGCCTGGGTAAGAAGACATCCTCTTTATAAAAGGAGGTCTTCATGTTCATAATTATTACTACATGCAATTTAGTCATAATATACCAGCCAGCTTACAACCCCACAAACCATATCTCAAACTTGAGTGTCGAAGGTTTTTCCGTTGAGACCCCTCCTGCTTATTTTGCAGGTCATCGGAGTTTGTGTTCAGAGACAATTCGTGACATAGTCGGCATGATCTCAATCTAGATAGACGTGGCCAAATCCCGGTTCCGGACTGGGGTTTGGAAGACCTTGAACCGTTCACTACATTGACGGTCTAGACCCTACAAGTTCATATAAAAAACAATAAAAAATAATTAAAAAATGAAAAAAAAAAAAGATAAAAAAAGGTTGAACCGTTGGTTCCAGTTCGAAACCAGCCAAGCGGTTCAAAAATTATAATTATGTGGCCCGAAACTGATATGGTCAAAACACGGGCTCGGTTCAAGGCCCATTGACCACGGGCCAGTTCCAGGCCGCCCAACGGTTCGATCCGTGGCCATGTTTAATCCAGAGATAGATTTTCACATCATTGACGGTGCCTAAGTGGATGTAGGAAAATCATGATCAGGATAGTGGACCAAAGCTATCCCTTGGCCAATATTTTTATAAACTCCTCCATATCCTTTTCTTTTCATCGATTTCGACCATTCACCTCCAATCTCTTGTGTTGATTGTCTTGTTGGGCTTTTCCTAGGGCTTTGTTTTGATTGAGATCTTGTCAGCGTGATAAAAAGCCCAATGTACCAGTCATTTCACAGTAAGAATTTCAGGGTTATGACCCGATATTCCTACAGTCGTCAGAAGTCATCGTGTAATACGTGAATTACCCATTTGTTTTATTTATGTTTAAATATGAGTATCAGTTGGAGTTGGTCCAACTCTCAGATCTCAAACAATGTCAAATCCGACTCTACCTCGTGAATATTGCTCTAAGGAGAATCAGCAGAGCCGGTGCTAGAAATTATTAGGTCCTACGCCAATTGTGGTAAACAGTTCGTAATGCTCGTATTTAATAAATAGATTCATAAAATATTATCATATGATAGAAAATTAGTGAAGATAAAAAATTATAAATTAATTTCATAAATTAATTTAAAAAAAAAAATACTCAAAAAATAAAAAGAGGAATCAATCACCTTCACACTTTGTATGTGAAAAGAACATGTGAACATATAATAACCAAAGTTTCAAATCTCTTTAACCTTAACCATGTAGTTTCAATTAAATGTACTCCACAATAGTCATCTCTAGTTTAATGGATCTTTATTGCAAAATACTCATAACAATTTAAAAAATATGAGAACCAAATAAAAAATAAATTGAAATTCGTATATAAAAATGAACAAATTCACGTAACCCAACTTAATATACACACAAAGAGTTATTAATATACACCTTCACACTAATATGACTGAATTATATACACAAACATATATTTTTTTATATTAATTAAAAATCTAGATTGATCAAGTAAAAAAAGTAAGAGAACAAAATATTATTTATTAAAAATTCTTATTAGTTAATTTTATCATGATTATTTCACATCAAGGTAAACAGGATAAAAATATATAATTGTATGAAAATAAGTGAATAAAACTATTTTTTAAAAATCAAATAATACCATCATGGGAGTCGAGCTCTGGGGCTTCTCCAAGGATTACATCTAGCGTGGGATTTGAGACACCGTCGAGTGGATGGATCGAGGGATTCCTTATGAATATTGGGCATTGTACCATCACGGGAGCCGAGCTCTGGGGGCTTCTCCAAGGATTACAGCTAGCGTGGGATTTGGGACACCGTCGAGTGGTCAATGAAATCGATAGCCTATGCGTGGCAAATATGGTCCGCAACAAGGATGAGATTAGTGGAACCCATGGGCCGATGATTAGAGCTATCCGTGACTTGATCCAAAGAGATTGGATCGTGAGAATACAACATGTACATCGAGAAGCAAATTTCGCAGCAGACTTCCTGACCGGGCTTGCGGCATCTTACCCGATTGGACTCCAGCGAGTTACATCCCCCCCTAGTGGTATGGGTGTTTGGTTAGATCATGATCTTATAGGAGTTTCATATCCTCGTCGAACACTAGCCTAGGTTTAGGCCTCGGCCTCCTTCACTGTACCGAAAAAAAAATCAAATAATACTAAAATATATTTTTCCTTTAATAAAAACAATGGGTCCTTCATAATTTGCAGGGTCCTGAGCGGTTGGCCAGTTGGCCCTGCCTCAGGGCCGGCTATGAATTTTAGCCGTTAAATAATACATGCTCACACATTTATCCAAATGTAAATTTACTGACTGTCAAAATGTAGGTATAGGTTTTCTAGTTAATTGGTGGTAGTTATTGCTATTAAATTAAACAAGCACGGATCGTTAATACTCGCGTTTGGCTCGAGTTTGAGGCCTTAACGAGTCGAAAAAATAAGCTCGTTTAGCCGAGGATATAGATCGAAAAGACATTTTTTATATAATTTTTTTTATAATTTGGCTCGTTGAAACTCGATATCGGCTCGAGCTTGATTTTTGGCTAGTTTACTTAATAAGTCGAGCTCAACTCAACTCGGCTCGTTTACAACCCTAGTGTTAGTTAACATCTTAACGGTACTCTTTTGACTTTGTTAGTTATTAATGTGTTTGCGGTTTGAAAACATTTAGGATGTGATTGGATATAGATTTTATTTGGTTTTGATTGGTTTTGTTGTTAACTATAGTTAATTTTGAAAAACACAAGTGATATAGTTAGTTGTTAGTGGAATATTGAGTTCGTATTAAAATATATTTAAAATAAAATAATTAAAAATGATCTGATATAATAGTAGAGAAGAGATAATGTGACGTGTGATAATTAGTTAAAATTATATTAAAATAATCTTTAAAATAAATAATTATGTTTTGATATGATGTGTGATTGTTAGTTGAAATTATGTGAGTGAATTAAAATTAGGATAATGTTCCCCTACCCACGGTGGACACATGTTAATATGTACACCGCTTATGTGGCATGCACACATTGATGATGTTAATATGTTCAAACAAATACATCACCAATGGGTGAATGGCACATAAGCGGTGAATATATTAACATGTGCCTACCGTGGGTAGGTGAACATTACTGATTAAAATTATATCAGTGGAATTGAATTAAATTGAATTTTGGGTAATTTTGTTTAGATGAGTTAATATCCAATCACACTACGGATTCATAAATATTTTTACAATCAGCAGAGCCAGTGCTAAAAAATTTGAGGTCCTATGCCAATTGTGGTAAACAGTTCGATTAATAAATAGATTCATAAAATATTATCATATGATAGAACATTAGTGAAGATAAAAAATTATAACTTAATTTCATAAATTAATTTGAAAAAAAAAATACTCAAAAAACAAAAAGAGGAATCAATCACCTTCACACTTTGTATGTGAAAAAAACATATAATAACCAAAGTTTCAAACTCTCTTTAACCTTAACCATGTAGTTTCAATTAATTGTACTCCACAATAGTCAATTCTAGTTTAATGGATCTTTATTGCAAAATACTCATAACAGTTTAAAAAAATATGAGAACCAAATAAAAAATAAATTGAAACTCGTATATAAAAATGAACAAATTCACATACCCAACTTAATATACACACAAAGAGTCATTAATATACACCTTCACACTGACTGAATTATATACACAAACAAATATTTTTTTATTAATTAAAAATCTAGATTGATCAAGTAAAAAAAGTAAGAGAACAAAATATTATTTATTAAAAATTCTTATTAGTTAATTTTATCATGATTATTTCACATCATGGCAAACAAGATAAAAATATATAATTGTATGAAAATAGGTGAATAAAACTATTTTTTTTTAAAAAAAATAAAATAATACTAAAATATATTTTTCCTTTAATAAAAACAATGGGTCCTTCATAATTTGCGGGCCCCGAGCGGTTGGCAGTTGGCCCTGCCTCAGGGCCGGCTATGAAATTTAGCCGTTAAATTATACATGCTCACACATTTATCCAAATGTAAGTTTACTGACTGTCACAATGTAGGTATAGGTTTTCTAGTTAATTGGTGGTAGTTATTGCTATTAAATTAAACGAGCACGGCTCGTTCAGACTCGCGTTTGGCTCGAGCTTGAGGCCTTAACGAGCCGAACTCGAGCTTATTTAAAGCTCGTTTAGTCGAAGATAAGGCTCGAAAAGATATTTTTTATATAATTTTTTATAATTTAGCTCGTCGAAGCTCAATATCGGCTCGAGCTTGATTTTTGGCTAGTTTATTTAACAAGCCGAGCTCAGCTCAGCTCGTTACGAGCTCGAACTCGAGCTTGAGCACCTTAAGCTCGAGCTCAGCTCGGCTCGTTTATAGCCCTATTGTTAGTTAATACCTTAACGGTACTCTTTGAGTTTGTTAGTTATTAATGTATGTGCGGTTTGAAAATATTTAGGATGTGATTGGATATGAATTTTATTTGGTTTTGATTGGTTTTGTTGTTAACTATAGTTAATTTTGAAAAAAAAAAATGATATAGTTAGTTGTTAGCGGAATATTGAGTTCGTGTTAAAATAATATTTAAAACAAAATAATTAAAATTGATCTGGTATAATAGTAGATAAGAGATAATGTGACGTGTGATAGTTAGTTAAAATTATATCAAAATAATATTTAAAATAAAATAATTAAAATTAATTTGATATGACGTGTAACTGTTAGTTAAA